ATGTTATAAAAGTCTCTTGCCTTAAGTAACCGGATATTTCCCATAAGTTGTACCCCCTCAGTGATCATATTAGACACAGAGTGAGGTACTGCAGATATCCCGTAATGTGTGTGATGGGCCAGAGATATGCCCCGGAAGTGGTGAGACCGGATGTCAGCGTGAGCTATGTACAGCGTGTGTCGTAAGATGCTACTTACTGCCTCCAACTGTTCAACTGTCCCTCCGAAGATAACATCAACAGATGCGAGGACGGGGTGAGAGTTTATCTGCTGCTGAGCGAAGGTGTTGGTGATACGGTAGTATATCTGGAGTCAAAACTGACACCAACACACAACACCTAGTTTATACATTCTCGGCGTCTAAAGTGTTAACTGAATCTTAAAATACACTATTCATGTTTTTAATTAGGTATTGATTATCTTTGCCTATGCCAATTGTACAGTTAGTATTATCTGCTAAGGTGGCTGCACATGAAGTCTATGTGGATTTTAATTTATCATTTTCCTCTCATCCTATGCACTTAACTATGCCTAGCCAATGTGACAGAAAAAAAAATTAGACATTAAAGTATGTAATCCTTTTAGTATGGCTCGCTCAATTAAATGGCCTATGCCATTTACCTGAATTAGTGGGTTTATATCGGTTTATGATAACATGTACGTGTGTGTGATTTCTGTTCTACAAAATGTCGTTTGGGTATCCAGTTACAATAGAGAAATCATTATGAATTCTTTTTAAATGTATTAGAATATCCATAAGGCCATCCTGATTCATTCAGGATACGTCCAGTAATTCAGATCTGTTGTACACAGACAATTTGTTATAAAACTTAACCTTTTCACCTGAACTTTAAAACAACACGTTATAAAAATAAACTTTACAACGTATGCAAATTTTCAACTTATGCATAGGTTACCCTATTTTAATTTTACACTACTAGGTGAATTTATTTCTGAAAATGTATTTAATATATTCAAATAATTTGATACATCGTTCCATTACCACTGGTACATCATTTTATCCAGTATCTCCACCAGGTGACAGTATGTATATCCTCCTCAAGTTGCCTGAACGAGGACGTATCCCTAGGGACACGCTCCAGGTCAGCCAATCAGGAGGGCGAGAGTTGTCACTGATAACAGGTGATAAGACATATCAGCTCAACTCCCAGAGGTCACGTGACGACAGATGTAATTATGTGACGTCAGTCAAGTAGAATCTTCGTTAACTAACAGAATCCAAAGTGCAGTATTTAGCTGATTGTAAGTGTGTTTGGTTTATTAAAGACTATTTGTTTACTGTTTTAACTCGACTCAGTATCAGAAAGTGACATTTGTAACGGTAATTGTTTTGTGTTTGCATATTTTACATCTTGTTTGTCCAAAATTGCTATTTTGGTCACAGTTTTTACCACCGTTATAAAAGAGTAATTATCAAGGTAATTTTGGAAAGTAACTACGTGAACTATTTCTCAGCAGTTGTTAACGACGCTGTTAATGAAAAAAAAATCTTTATCAGAAACCAATAACACTTAGGGTACTATTTCCTCATGCAATTTTATTAATACAAATTACAAAGCTATTAAGCTATTGTAAATGACAGATTTTAATTCTATTTTGAAATAGTCTGTATTCATTGGTGTAATATTAAATAGAAACCTCGAATCGTAAAACCAATTAAAACTTTTTCGAACCAAAATGAGCCTGAACAAGGTTTTTTTTACAGTTCGGTCCTTTGCAAACAAGTAAAATGAAATCCTACATATCATTAAAAATGACTTATAAGTGATACTATGTTATTAGTTCACAACACATTTGCTTATTTTACAAGTGTGTATATGTGTAAAGTTAAATAAATAGCTTCTGAACCTCCATTTGTATGTAAACTCAGTATGTGGGACATTGTTTTAGATAAAATATATCTATACAATTAGTAAAACAGACCTTTAGATACTGACAAGAAGTAGTATGATTTTTTATTAATATTTGGTTCAAGCGACCTAAAAATAAAAAAGTCAAATAAATGAAAAAATAACCTGGAGATACTCAATGGAAATATTTTATCTGGTGTGGTCTCTAATATGTATGAGAATATACTTTTATGGTATGTATCTTTATGTCTTTACAGATATGCACACAGAAATGACTCCGACGATTATACTTAAAAACTATTTAGTACAAAAATGTATATTAACGCTGATGGTTGTAAATTGATGTTAACTAAAAATACCACCATTAACAGCGTATCTGAAGAACTAACTAAAACAATCAATGTAAAAAAGCCCTTAATTTTAAGTTTAAAGTAGGAAACTAAATTTAAATTAATCTATCAATACTATCTTGACAGCCATTTTGTACAGAACTGATTGACTGATTTGAAGCACTGTGTAGGAATTATAAGAACAGCTCAGCCAGCTCGTTTGATGTGCCGACCAGGGTACTAGCAAGCATACAAATCACTCTGAGTATCACCGCCGTACAAGACCGTATCTACCGACGTTCCGATACTAAATTACGGTAAAATATGATATCGGACGTCAAATGGAAGCGTGCGGAAACTGTGCTAATTTATAGTTGACGCTCTGAGCGTGCGTGTGTGTGTGTGAGTGAATGTGGGTGCAGAAACCTCTATCCACCATTGATATAAGGGATGGGATACAAATCAATGATATACCATTACATCAAACATTACACACTCTGTAGACAATCTGTCCCATTTTTGTCGAATACTGATTGGTATTTTTTCGACAATAAATAATCTTAATTGCATATCTCTAGTGTTTAATAGTAGGTTATGGTTCTAAAGAAATCGATTTATATTTGTTATACATTGATGAAACTGTATTTGTTTCTGTTGTTTAATAACTACTGTGTGTACATCTTCATTTTTCAAACGTGTAAACCAACTTGAATGTTTTTTATATTAATTAACTAAGGTTTTCATTAACTGGCAAGTCACTGAGCATTCTATATATACACATTTTACAATTTAAATGGTATATCAGAATGTATTTATCAGGGTAATGAGTTGATATGAATAAATAATACAAATAATAAATTATTTCATAATTTGACAAGAAATGTGAACCAAGAGCGTAATATAAAAGTTCGACCAAATATTTAATAACAAATTTACAAAATAAAGTTGTTTAATTAACCTGAACATAAAGTATATATCAAGTATAATATAGAAATTTACCATTGATGGTTCAATGAAAAAAGACACTGGGGCCAGGATCGATCGCTTTCATTGTTAACTCGCGCTCTTTTTGATTTATTTGAAAGCAGTAAGTACTAAATACAGTAATTCGGCTACTCCATCATTCATTTTGTATAATAGGCATTCTTTTGCTTTCCACACTTGGTGACATGTATCAGTTTTCAAATGCTATATGGTAGGTTGTTTAAGTTTTCAAATAATCTGCGTTCATTGAAATCTACCACAAGAGTAATCTAAATTAATAATTTAAACCAATACATCAACATTTTTTAAGTAACGTCACGGCTTTCTTTCAGTCAAACACAGACTATCTAAAGAAATATATTTTAACATATATTCTAAATGATTTTACGAAATAGACAAAAAGACCTAGAACATCTTAAGTCATCCATAATTAATTGCTCTCGTATAAAATGTTTGGACTTTTCATTATTGCTGCTGTGACGTTGTTTATCAAACAACACTTTCTTTGAGTATTAACAATGAAGCATCAACTTCCTTTAGTTCCATTCCTACTTAGTAATGCGGCAGCTTTATAACATTCAGGCATTTATTTTATTGTGTAGCACAGTAGTGCAGTGGGAGGCCTATGCGCCTCAAACCACCTAAGTTTATTTGCTGTTGCCATTGCATGATTAGGCACAAGTGTATCTTTTTCCTTAAGATGATTTGTTTTTCATTTTAGCGAATTTCCCTATAGGGAAGTAGCTATTACCGTAGGTCTCATGGTAAGACTTAGGCCCGGGACCGATTTACTTTTTCATTTTGATGTCCCCAGAGGCCAAAAACACCATTCGTTCAAATTTTTATATATGTATATATATATATATATATATATATATATATAGATTTATATATATATGTGTCCGTGAACACGATAACTTGAGTAATTTTTATCCGATTTTGATGAAATTCGGTTTGAAGGTGTAAGGCGGGATAAACTTGAATGAGTTCGCGATCCAGCATGATCAGACCATGGGAACAGGGTTTTATGGGGGGTTTTATGGGGTAAAAATTGGTTTTTCTCACTTTTGACCCTCAAAACACAAAATTTTTCAATTTTTCTCTAAACCTTCTTAAAGAGCTTAAAAAAACAAACAATTCAGTATATCAAAGTGTTTTTGTACGGTTATTGGTTACGGAGAAGACTAAAAAAATTGTAAATTTAAAATTCCCATGTTATTCTTATAGAGAATATTGTAAAATGTTGTACTTTGCTTGTTTATGGATATCTTTTGATCAAACTTGGCAAATATATTCATTTTATACTAGGCAATAATTATTTTACTTAAAGCACAGACTTTATTAGTTTCCTTGTAGCAGCAAACCTAGGTACTCGTTAAACCTAATGTTATTTAAATAGATCGATTGAAAATCAATTCAGCCAAATGGAAATTTGCTTAGACGGCAGGTTTGCTGCGGCGGGGGTATTTTCCTGTGTCATGATTGTCTTGATATACTAATTTATTTATTTTAATCAGCTATAAATTATTAAATGGATAAACTGGCCAATATAATCACAATATTATCAATAGAAAAGAGGTGTTACTGAAAGCACGGCCAAATTTACGTCCCCTTAAATAAAGGGAAATAAAAATGGTTCATTTAGAAGAGCTAATTGTAAAACCATTATTGTTTTTCTATGGAAAATAGTATATGATAAGTATATGATAAATAGTATATTATAAAACAACTTTCCTTTACATGCGTACGTAAACGCATTCAGACGCACCAAGTCACCAAAGCCTTTATAGAGAGGTTACAAAATAAAACCAACATAATTGCAGCAAGACTTATTTTATTGAAATCAATAATTGTCTATCAATAGTATAATTAGAATAAAAGAAACATCAACAGCATTGAGGGCGTTCATAAGAACATTTCTGAGGTCCAGCTGACCGGCTCAACACCCTGACGTCATGATGACGATAGGACGATGGGCCAATCAGCTGTTACACGCCAGTCTATCTGTACACATCCCAATATACAGCCGCTATACAATCTTGTTTGGAGCGGTCCGGTACAGTGGCGCTCGCGGTGTACAGTGGTCACCGGTCACCTCGAGCGCCCAGCACCGGACCGCGTTAGAGGTATGAACACATGCACTCTGTCGTAATAAAAAATCCTACATTTACATTTGGAGCAAAAAATATCAAATTTGATCACTGAGAGAAGGAAAACACTTCACCAGCTTCAATCGTATACTTGCATTTGGTCAAAAGAGCGAATAAGTCTTATATGAACGAGTGGGCAAGAGAAATGGATATAGTAGAGTTGTGGCATCCGGTTGTGTAAAACCTTCCACTGCGATTTGAACGTTAGGAGGTAAATAGAACAATATAACAAACAATCTTGATAACATGGAACAAAAATTAAAAATAAGCTGAAATGTACTTCTTGCCCACTCGGGTACAACCTACAATAATAACATTAGAAAACACAAAAAGAGTGAGCAATACACGAAAATATGAATATTGGCAATAACATCAAATGAAAAGGAACGATCAGAACTTGAATAACAACTACTACACAAAATGTCCCACAAAAATTACACAGCAAAATCTCCAATGTTATTATTATAACTTGTACTAGAACACAACGAAGTTTAAATGAACAATAAATATATTTTGTACACGATGTAGTCTATATGTTTTAACTATATATCACATATAATAAATAAACTATTTATACATACTTATTGCAAGAGTAATTATAATCATCAGCTGTTTACTCTAGATACTAAAACATTAAGAAATTAATGTTATCTTAAAGCTTACATCGTTATCAAAATCGTATCTACAGAGTCTAACTGGATCACTTAACTATTTTATGAACTCCTCTAAAATGTCTATGGGTTAAATTTTATCATTAACGTTAAATAAGGGTAACAGTGTCTGAATACAATTAAAGCTCAGAATTACAAGAAGAAAGATTAAAACCATTCAATTCTGTGTACAATATTACACTTGAGAAAGAAATATGTATTAAAATTATCGCATTCTGTATATTTTTTTATTACTAAAGTATTTGTAATGAAACATAGTTCATACCATTAGCGTATTTGATTTTGTAAATTTCACAAATCTAATCCTAACTAAATCCTTGTAAAATACATAATGTTTGTGCCAAAAATTCCAGCATTTGCTTAATTTCTCTAAATGATAAATACATTTGATTTTTTACTAAATGAGATCTGTTGTAACAACAGTATTACTACAACAAGTAGAAAGGCAAGACAAGTTTGGATAGTCTAAATGCACATTCTTGTCTCAGTATGAATGTGTCGATTGCATGAAGATTTTCGTCTTGGGTTAAATTCAAGTCTAGTTCCAATCAATTACAGTACTAATATACGCAGTGTTAAGAAATGTTGCCACGTTGACCACATATTGGCAAACTAATATATTTCCTGATTATTAATTATAGAGATAAGCTACAATAAAATATAAAAACCATAAGTCTCTTTAAAATGTAAAATATTGCAAAGTCTTGGCAAAGACCCTTAAAACGGAATGATCCATGAACCTCGTTTTACCACAGTTTGATATGCAAGTCTCGCAGTATACTGTAGAACTAGATTGCGATTTACTTCGTGTTCAATCAACACGCAGCGTTACCCCTCGTCCCATAACTAAAACTAAACCCAGAATCGCCTCTAACGACTTTAAGTTATGGAAGCTAAAAGGAACATCTGCTCGAGCGGATCTGAGTGCGTTTTAAATCGTGTCCATTCTGACGAAATATGATCACGTCCGACGACACATAACGCGGTAGTTAGTTAGTGTTAGTCGTGCTAGGGGTGGGGGGAGAAGATGAGAATAGCGTGTGGCGGCGACAGCTGTCTATCCATCCATCAAGAGGCCCGGGAGAGCAACGGATATAGAACACAACCTCACTACTTTATTGTCATATTGACGGATTTATTCGGGACTAAGTCTGGCCTACCATAGACAACACATCCTGGCATGTTTTATGGGGCTCCAGCCAAATGGGTTACTAGCCATCGCCATCGTCTTGTCTGCCGTCACTAAGGGATGCCACAAGGTAGTCTCTTGGAGCCATCACTGTTTTATTGGTACTGTTCAATTTGAAAACTGGTCTCATGATAACGAATAAATTTTAAGTAGTTAACCGTATTGCATCAACCAGAAATATACAGTCCCAATTAGTTCATACATTTTCAAAATAATTCTCAGCTTTTTAATCTTAGTTATTAATTGAAAAAGAATATAGTGCAATTAATTAGACCGTTTGCATATATTGCAAATTAATAGTTGGTATATTGCCAACTATTAACCTGCATTTATCAAACTTTAGTAGAAAAAGCATAAAAAATAATGAGTTTAAATCGTTGTTAGCGGAAAAACTGAGCATTGAGTCAGCAAAAGACTGATTATTTATATTAATAGTATTTTTTTTTCAAAACGTTTTAAAGTGCAATGTTTTGAAAACTAAATTTCTTTGTCAGATTTACATTTTAAGAAATGTAAACATAATAACCTTTTTTAATTGACTTTAGGTATAGTATAAGAACACTTTTTCGCCCTGTCAAAAATCATCCCAAAGAACAGTGAAAAACAGAGAATTTGCATACCCGTATTCTTTGCCAAAGTCGGTTAAGGTAACGTTTTTGAAACAAGGTAATCAATTGATGCAACTGAGTTTAGAAATTATTCTCAGGACCAAGCAAGGCGTAGAGACGAGTCAGACAGTGACACAGCGAGGCGGGAGACATCTTGAAATAGAGAAGACAAGATGGTGGAGATTTATTGGATATCCCGGCCATAATAATGATTTACAAGAGACAAGCGCGTCTCGGTGAAGGACAAACATTTGACATGTCTCTCTTATTTATGCCTTCGACGACGCATCAAAGGCGTCTCTAATTAATAAACGGCTGCCAGCTGCCTGCATTGTTGCCACGTCGCTTGCTTCACTGTCTTACTATTTATTAATTCATTTGGATGTTCATTCTGAGTTTCCTAATATTTAAACACAAGTTTAGTTGGGCTAAGTATTCCCAATCTTCATTTGCAAAAAAATGTTATTTCATTTTGAATTTAAGATAATATTTTTAAATGTACGGTCGATCTAGATGAGATTTCCTATTGCTGAGTGAAAGATTATTTCTGATAAGGTTTTTCGGAATACTCACGATTATATACAAGTAATGTCTAGGTTAGCTATCGCATTCTGTACGGCAACATTGAAGTGATCAATCTGGCATCGACGTACCTCCATGACCAGGATGTGAAGCCCGGACGGTGTCATGGCGTCGACGCGACTGTACATTCCAGTTGACTTTGATAAAATGATTGTCTTATTGGTCGGGAGGAGGGACTCTCTCGTCTACTGTAAATCACGGGATAAGAGGCACAGGCTGATCATTAGAGAACCGGTTGTGTTGTTGTGTGTGGGCTGTGACACGACTGTGACTGTCTCGCGAGCCTGCAGCGAACTTTCCATCTACGGACACCAACATAACACTCAGATCGCTTCAAAACCGAAACCGCTAGTAAATACTACCGAGGTTCAAGGATTCAACCCTAACGTTTTAGACCCAGCAGAACTGAGCGACTTGGAAATGCATGGTTATTGAAATATACATGTTCTACTTAATTTTGTTTACATAATTATAAATAAAGCACCACTAAAACATTAAATCATCTCTGCTAGTAATTCATCGACAAAATCTATCAAGTTTCCTTCCAGATATATTTTTCATTACATGGGCATTTTAAAATGGACGGAGGGGACTGCTACAGGTTTCGTATACATTTGAAGTTAAGGTGTTATTTAGAATATCGGTGTAGAGCCGTGTAAAACTAAATAAATAAATCTATAGTAAATAAAAACGTACATCTTTGTAATTTGGAAAACAACTTACGAAATTATAATGGTATATAACTCACACAAAGTAAGGAATTGGGCATTTTAACGTGTCCCCGAGCACAGGTTTAAAACATATAGACTACTTAGACTCTATGTTATTGTACACTCGATACTGAGGGTCGGTATACACGAGAACTAGCCTAGGACTGAGCCCGATGCAAAAAGTGACTGAAAATCAGCAGCGTATACACATTGTACATGATAACAGTAGAAAATAATGACTATTATGTTTGTATACATAATTTACAAACACCCAATTATACCGGAAGAGTAGAAGATAATTCGATAATACGTATAGTAACGTTACAAGGAAACCGCGATCTTCTATATTACTTACAGTACAGCTAGGCTAAGAGGTTCGATAAAAATTACTTCGCTATACGAAAAACTCTAATATTAGCAAAACTGTTAACAAACACGAGTGTACGTATACGGTAGAGTTTACTTTCAGGACTTAAGAGCTAAGTCAGGGGCGTCGTTTTAACAACTATATTTTAAAATAAAGCGTATTACTGAAAATAGTTTACAACACGAAATTTCTTGAAACACTTAAGAAACAACACCTCCTAGGAGTCGTGGAGAATCCTTTAAATAACAGTACAATAATAAATAAAGATTACAACGAGATTATTGATAAATATCACGTATCTCTTAGAAGATAGAGTATACATAGTTGTGGGCCGAAGGCCAGGTATACAGTTGACCAGATCGAACTGACCGGGAGATCACAACGTCCCTAAACTACGGCCCGGGGGCCAGATATGGTATCATCACAACGCGATCTGTACAGGAATGACACTTTCTAATGTACACATTTACGCTCACGATTACTTCTCGGGCTATACATATTTACTTGACAGTTGCTTGGCGAGTTCAGTGTACTTGAGGAACTTTGAGTGCGGGCTCTCCTCGAAGCTGTTTTGCTGAGTGGGACTTTTCCCTGAGGATGTCGAGGCCGCGTTGTTGGACTTACCACCATGAGGACCGGGGGAGGCGCCACTGACGCCTGCTTGAGCTTTTAGAGCCACCGGGTCAGGAATGACACCGTCTTTGACGAAATGCATCTTGCTGAGATGGTGTCTGTACGCTCCTTTGGATATAAAGGGCGTGTCACAGAAAGCGCACTTCATGATGGAGTCTGCGGTAACTACGGCGTCGTTGCAGGCCCAGCTGAAAGCTAATATAGCTCCTGGAGTAGTCGCTGACTGTGGTGTCTGTGAAGATCCGGCACCCATTGATAAAGGTCCCTGATTCGAGGATGATGGCCTACCCGAGCTACTCGAATGATGGTGTGTTTCAGTCTTATCACAGAGTTTCTGCAGAGCAGCTAAAGGGTGGCTAGTTCCTTTCCCACTGGAGACGGTAGGTTCAGAGGACGCACCTCCTCCTGAAGCTCCTCCAGAGAGATTATCAAACATTGACGATAGCGCCCCCAAGCTTCCGGTGGTCTTCTTCTCTATAGTGCTTCGAGGGGTTCCTGATCTGTCACTACTTGCTGGACTACTAGTACTGTTTCTGCAAGGACTGTTTGGGACTGGTTCACTGGACGATGGTCTTATCGGGGTAGGTTGCCTAGGACTAAGTCCAGGGCTAACCATGCTGTTGTGACTCCGGCGGTCTTCTTCGGGTTCGTCATGAGTTAACCTTGGTGACGGCAATGGTTCCTCCTTTACACTTCGTTGTAAATTAAGTCCGTCACTGTGATAACTCCTCCTTTCATCTTCATCGTCTCCATTTTCCAGATCTTCTTTCTTTACGACTATACCGTGTCTCATGTTACTCTCTAAGGGCACCTCATCATCTTCAATTTCTTTCTTAATGCGGACGTCTTCTTCGGTGGAATCATCGTGGGTCAAGTTTTTTGCTGATGGTGGAGTTTGTATCCTCTTCTCAGGTGTTGTCCGCGGCGTAGAACTCATTAATCTGTCCGTTTGGTCAAACTTCCTATCGGGCGTAGAAGCTTCGGTGCGACCACGTTCTGACATTGAACTGGACTCACTCCCGCTTCGTTCTCTTCTACCAAAATGGCCGTGAGAATGGTGAGGATAGTTTCTAAGAAGATTCATTGTTTGAGGATCGACAAGAGGTTTGGTGTAATCGACACTCTCGTCAATACCTAACCTCTTCAGAATGCTGGAACCGATAACCCCTTGACCCATACCACCAGGACCAGCGTAGCCAGACGCTCCATGCCTTGCTCTTGAGTCAAAACTTTTTTCTATTAACTTTTCTATTGCATTAAGAACAGAAGGAGAAGATGTTTTACCATCTTGCTTAGCAGAATCCTTATCAGGACTGGTGGGGGGAACTGAAAGATCAGTGGCCGACGGGGATAGTTGTGCATCTTCTTTTTTGATTTTTCTGCTTTCTCTAAGAGCTTGTGTGACACTGGCGTGTTGTTCACTAGGCATCATGTTACTGGATAATAATGCCGACTTGAGGAGATTTCTCTGATCACTACTGATATGTCCTCCTCCTATACACATTCTGATGTGATCAACAAACACAGCCATATCGATCTTCTCGCCACATTTTTCGCAGGTTATACGCCCAGCCGAATGCATTTCACGGCCGATTTTCCCACCCATCATCATCATTCCTCCTTCGCCATTTTTTAACTCATTTTGAGCTCTTTCTAGCTCTAAGAGTTTTCTGACAGGAAGGGACTTTTTCCTTTTTTCTCGAGTTTGCCTTCTTCGTCCACCGCTTTCTGTAATGGATCTCATAATATGCTCTTTGTAATGTGAGTTTTTAACCATGTGATTACTAAGCTCTTTCAAAGAACTAAATGCTTGATCACAAACTTTGCAAGTGAGAACTGCGCTTACATGACTGCTAGCTGCACTTGCACCTCCGGCTGAACTTACGGTTCCACTGCTACCGTTTCCAGACGACCCACCTCCACCACTGCCACCATTTCCCCCACTAGATTTTCCTTCATCTGCCGACTTCCAAGAAATAATTTGCTCTTGAGAGATAATGTTTGTATAATGCTGAGTTTGCTGCATGTGACTTGTCATCTCTGCCAATGACCTGAAGCTTTGGCCGCACCACATACATTTCAATATTTGCCTAGTTTGCTCAGCACCTTTACCCAGCCAGACGTCCTGTCCTCGAACGAGTTTTCTTGGTAATGGCATCGTCTCTTTAATTAGAAGATTGAGGTCTGCTGGAGAGGGTTTGCCACTACCTGACGATGAAAGATTTGGCAAGCTAACTGGAGGAACAGATGAGGTAGGTGTTGTTGGTGGGGGGATTGGTGGTGGAGGAGGCTGAATGTTCGGGACAGGAACGTTTACTCCACAGTGCTTCGCTTCCTTCATATGCGTCGTCATAGCTGCCAAAGTCGGAAAGCTCTGTTTGCACCACACACATTTCAACACATCTTTCGCCTGATCAGCTCCTTTGTTGAGCCAATGTGACTGCCACGCGCTGTGCCTTCCTCCAGAACTTGCGCTATTTCCCATTGACCTGAATTCGTCCCCTCCAAGCTTACTGAGTTCACTCATCTTTTCTAAAGCTTTTGTCGCATCACTTGGGGTAAATGCTGGCTTATCCTTCATCTTTCCGTTCCACAATGAGCTATCACTACTTGAATGACTGTTGAGGCTCGCGTTAAGTTTTGGCGACAAGCTATTTGCTGCAGCCACGGCAGCAGCAAAGTATGGGAAGTGAGAGGCAACTACTGGAGATGTCCACGGAGATACAACGGTCTTGAAATCGGTATTGACTCTTGGCGTTTTTCTCGGTTGCGGGCTCGGAGATTGCGAACCACAGGAAGAATCGTCTTGTCCTCTCTTTCTACTTGAGACTGATAGATCTAGAGGACTCGATTCCGAATTAGGGACCGGAGATGCTTTACTTAAGTCAAGACCTGAACCTTCATCAGAGCCCCGTTTCTTGCTGAAATCTAATACAGCAGCGTCTGTATCGTTTGGCGATCGAGGTGGAGGGGATCGCGGAGAAACTAACGAAGTAGCTGGGATCAACATCGGGGGTGAAGACGATGAAGACACCAGAGGAGACACAGAGCCCTGCGGTGATGTCATGACAAGCCTGTGAGGCGCCATCACGGGTAGAAAGGCAGGTGGGATGAGCGACACAGGACTGACTGGAGCCATGGGTAGTGCTCTGTCGGAGCCCTCAGAGTCCCGGGACGGGCACCTCGGCGGAATGGACGAACATCTCGAGTCTCTTGACGGGCTCGTCTGATCCCTGAAACAGGAGAGTCTAATTAAAAAGGCGGTATTATTTACGGTGACATTAAAGTGAACTACGATCTGACGACATTCCCCGGTTATAAATAGCGTGTCACTGAGCGCTGATGTCCAATGACGGGAACTAATCGCGGCGGCCAAACAGCCATTAAGCGGGGACCATAAATTGTTCGACAGAAGCGGAGATCTCCTCCACGTTCTCATACTAAGAGCGGTGTCGAGCTCTTCGTCATTGACCGTGTAATTCCTTCTTGTCAAGTTTCCCAGAAAGATGATCCTTTACCTTGATACTTATTCGTTTAAGATGCCGAAACAAAATGCGGTTTCTAACCTCCCTTTGCAAATACAACTCCCCCTTCATCCTCGTTTTTATGCAAGGCTTTTTGTCGCGAACCGCTTTGGAAAAATGTTTGCGCTGTTGATTTACGATAATGGGTGCGCACCGGTGCTAAATATCGCTGCAAGACGGGCGCTGCGCCCCCTGCCGAGCGTCAAACGACCTTAGATCGATCCGAGCACAATGTGTTGGTATAATGCTACACAACTCAACACCTCGAGAAATTTGATAAAACATTATTTAGAATCTATGTTATTTTAATTGTCAATAATTTAAAGAATAGGCTATACAAATAAACGGTATCATCAAACTGACACACACTTTCTCCCATAAGATTGTAAACAACCTTTATCATGGGTAAGCGGTGGAAGTAACTAAGATATTCTTTAGGGATAAATCACAAAAGTTGCAATAACTTTGGAACCGTAATTGTTACAGCAATTGCGGGTTGCACTATTTTTGTTTAGAATTCTGTTATTATATTACATTATATATTATATAATGTAAATAATCAAATATTTTATTTCATCCTTAGAAAATTTAAGGGTGTTCCTTTTCCTTTATTAAAAAACAAATTATCACCCCTTTTAAATATACTATGAAAACCTTGTATACAACTTGCAGTTAAAATGTATTTCCAACATTGAAAAAATGTAAAAAAATTAAAAAAAAAAGTATAAACTATTATGACAATGTATGGACCAGGCATTTGTACGATCAATTCTTGGTGATGTTGCATATATAAAACGAGTACAACAGCAAAATCTCATAATAATAATAGATAATTAGTATGCACTTTGTTCATTCTTTCTATGGAACAATTTACATGGCTTCCGAATACGTCTAATCAATACACTAACGAACATTTCTCCTAAATAACCGGCTCCCTAATTAACAACAACATTAATCACTCTAAGCTTCGAATCGAATATCGAGTAACATCGCAAAAACGTCTGAGCAAAGAATTTAATCCGTTCAGAATACATCAAAACAGCGGAGTTGGGCGGGTTATTGAAATTTACGGCTGGTTCCTTAATTACAGCAGCGAGGAGTTGTGAGGGAGAGGCGACTCTCTCGTGATAAACTGGCGTCAACGGCTCAGAGACCTTCTCATTCTCATCCCTTCATACTCATCTGCTATACACAGTGTGGAATATAGTGAAAACACGTAGGTACTGTCACCAACGGCTCAGAGACCTTCTTATTCTCAACCCTTCGTACTCATCTGCTATACACTGTGTGGAATATACTGAAAAAACGTAGGTACTGTAACCAACGGCTCAGAGACCTTCTTATTCTCATCCCTTCGTACTCATCTGCTATACACTGTGTGGAATATACTGAAAAAACGTAGGTACTGTAACCAACGGCTCAGAGACCTTCTTATTCTCATCCCTTCGTACTCATCTGCTATACACTGTGTGGAATACTGAAAACACGTAGGTACTGTAACCAACGGCTCAGAGACCTTCTCATTCTCATCCCTTCATACACATCTGCTATACACTGTGTGGTGTATACTGAAAACACGTACTGTAACCAACGGCTCAGAGACCTTCTCATTCTCATCCCTTCATACACATCTGCTATACACTGTGTGCTATATACTGGAATCATGTACTGTAACCAACGGCTCAGAGACCTTCTCATTCTCATCCCTTCATACACATCTGCTACACTGTGTGGTGTATACTGAAAACATGTACTGTAACCAACGGCTCAGAGACCTTCTTATTCTCATCCCTTCGTACACATCTGTTATACACTGTGTGCTATATACTGGAATCATGTAGGACTGTAACCAACGGCTCAGAGACCTTCTCATTCTCATCCCTTCATACACATCTGCTATACACTATGTGCTATATATACTGGAATCATGTACTGTAACCAACGGCTCAGAGACCTTCTCATTCTTATCCCTTCATACACATCTGCTATACACTGAGTGGAATATACTGTAATGGTTAAGTTTATTTCATTTTTAAGAGGATATGAACAATCTTGTATTAGAAAAACATCCAAAATAGTTTTCATTTGTTCATCTTTTGAAAATAAATCGATAAACAAATATATATGCAAAAAGGTGTGTGAATATGATATGATATTATGATTCTCGTAAAGTGGAAAGCATTTACGTTTTCATTATTGTTTTGATTTCAAGTAGCCTTCATGTATGTTCATTGTAAGGACCATTATTCTTAGCCGTAAAAGGTTACATTTGGCTAACAAGCTCTACTCTAAAGTAGATTAAGGCTTACGTAAGTATTTCATCTTAAAGTTGACAAAAGAGAGGACGTTGTTTTTCACCCGCGCTCGCCGCCTCCAACTGAACATTAATCACAGCAACGTCTTCCTATGTACAAATTGTTTTATTTTGTTTCTTTTGTTCGCATAATTATAATTTATTCTGATTCCGGACAGTTTTTAGTATCCCTATTTGTTTCTCGGAGTTTTCTGACGTCAGGCTCTCATAAATACAGCTCTTCGCTCGGGTTGTGCTATAGTAGTTCACTTATTTGCCAAATGTGAGTTGTAAGGCAACGAGAATGTGCGCAGAGTTCAGTGTTTGAGATTTGTTTAAACAGGGTCAGTAATACTAATACAACGCACTGATGAACTGTTGTTCCGTAAAAGACTAGTTTAATATAAACTCACTAGGTGAACGAATTTTGAAAAAGTGAAGAATACACATATTATGTTTATTACGAGTACTGGACTTTATGTTTCACAACGTGTACCACGTTAAAAATGATATACATACTAACATTATTTATAACAGAGCTAAACAAGAACATTGCCTATGACATCAGGATTATTATCCGAACCATCAGCTCGGAAGTAACGAACCTTTGAATTGATAAAACGCTTTTACCTTAAAAAGCAACAAATTAAATTAAAATATTAACTTTAAAACGAACCAGTGAATCGGCAGTCCGGGGACAACTTGGTATACGTATGACAACTGTTTACTGTTCATTCATATGTATGACGTAATTATGAACCAACATGCGGAAAATGCAGCTCTCTTTAAGCCTGAATCTGATTGTGTGCGAGTTTATAGAGTAAAAACAAAATATAGTAACGGACAATGGTTAATCGAGTGGCTTCGTCAAAAAGATTTTACTGGGTTTTAATGGGAATGGTCTTGACACTGTATCAACAACGAATCAAAAATCATTTATTATCCTTATATATAATTCTGTAAGACAAAATTTTTACCAGAAAATTGTGGACGTCTGGTAAGTCGTAGAAAAGTGGGAGGGGTCTTAAATTAAAGGTCTTGACCCCAGGGACTCGGGAAAAATAGCAGAATTGCCGTAAAGCTACCAGAAAACGAGATATAACGTAAAATGTTCTCCATAAGAATAGCATTAGAAGCCATTTACTGCAGATTTTTGTTTACTTCAATACAGCTGATCCGTGATTTATCATCAAGCCAGTGAGCAATATTAACATTTGGATTACTTATTTGCCAGTCAATTCTGCAATGTACTGTATACTATATAAAACCAGGGATAACGTAACCTATAATAATTAAGACTTTTTAGTTATATTATAGAATGTTATAATACTGTATAATGTATACATTATTTTACTGTGAAATTTTTAAAATTTGGTTATTTTGAACGTTAAACATGAAATAACCAAATTGACTAAATAATTAACGATACAAGATTAAATGGAAAACTTCTGCTTTGTTTTTATTTTAAAACATGTTCTAGATTTATTCTACACTTTCTTTATTTTAATGTATTTTTTTATGTTGATCAGAAAAATCTAAGGTTGAGTTTGGTCAATAGGATGCCTTTACTTTACACTAATGTTGTTAAACCTCAACAAAAGGAGTCTTAGAAATATTAACTGGGTAGGGATGTTAATTTCTAGCGGGTTTGGCCAAGAACTAAGCTTACCTCAACACACCTTTATTTGCCTTTTCATATTTGACGATGACAATTTCCAAAATTCCAATCAGGGAAGTATTTTTTTATCACCATTAACCACAAGACCAAAGCTTCTTTAAAAACCCAGTATTTATTCACAAACAATTATAATTTTGCTGCCTTTAGCAGAGTTAAACCTTTAAAGTGATTTGAATGATTTATTGAAAATAACATCAACAAAGGCAAACAAAGACAAACAACAAACTGTTTTTTACACAAAAGATATGGCGTAATGGCGTACAGAGATATCTATTCTGACACATGGTTGTATTTCTTAGTTTGTTTAAATATTAGAATAATTTGTTTTATATTATTGAGCTTTTTAGGGACTTATGTCCCTACAAGCCACTAGTGTAAATATAAAACAGTTTCAAAACATGAACCAATCAAGGTTAGGGTTTTCACAACAAAAAATAAATAAAAAAGTTAAAGATGCGGAGTTTATTTAGTTCAATTTTTGTTATAACATTGTGCTTTTGGCACTTATTTCTTCAACCGATAATGTATTACATTCCTTGAGTTTAAATAAATGCAAGTATACAGATTTAATTCTTTCCTCGTTAGCTATAATCTTCTATTGTAATTGGTAAACGTACATAGCAGCAGTATATTATTAAACCTAACGAGTTTGCTGATATAACATCTGTTTACCTGAGCACAATCTCAGTCTCCGGCTCCAAGGGGTTGGTAGGATGCTGGGGGGAACACGGCTGAGACGCCGACGAGTCTACTGAGTCTTCTTCTTCGTCCTCTGAAGGGGTTGCTTCGTCCCCTAAACCTTCTGGGGGTGGTTCACCTTCACCTCCCTCCCCTGCAACACACACAATTCAATGATAATTTTGGACACCACAGAGAAAACAAGAAATATGAAATTTAAATCTTGAAATATACATTTTACAACAATTAATTGGCTTGACGAACACATTCACAAGATATTGGGCAAGATGATTCAACAGATTGGAGCCGTACCTTTCCAAAGCTTATTTAGTCAGACTGTCGTCAAAGACATAAGAAATCTATACAGTTGTATAATATGTGGGCTACTGTATTTTTAACAGTTTTAAAACTTAATGAAAAGAGATTAAGTGCAGTGTAACAATATGCAACAAAACACGTAAAATATAAAAAATAATAAGTTTGAAAATCCGAGGAATTCATTTGGCAACCTTAACTTAAAAGCACGGTCGTATCAATAATTCGAATGAGCTAGTATCAAGCCGCCATAAAATTGTGTCACCGAAGTTGTAGAACAAGTCGTTATCAAAGCTTTACTAAGTTGTCCCAGACTTTAATTACAAACGAGGAATAGTTTAGCAAATTGAAGGCGATCATCTTGGCGCCAACATCAAGGAATGGGGGAAGCAAAATTGTATCGTCGGTTGATATTGTTTGGAGACGGCCCAAGAATATTCTACTTGTCAACAGTCAAAAATACGGCTTAGTAGACGTCAAAGGCCTTGGGGACGTTTGCCCTAGAATTACAACTGAATTGGTGTTTTAAGACTTCTATTTAGGGCAGCATCTTCTTCCCCATATCAGAAGGGAATTTAACACACTAGTAAAATATTTTGAAATGCGTCCAATGTAGCTAAAATAACTCAATAAAAATATAAAAAAAGATCACATAATATAACATCTGTACTACTTACTCATTGCAAAGAAAACGAGTATACATCTATGGTGTATTCTATAAATATACTTATTTAGATTTATCTCAGTTGTATAATTTTGAATTAATACTATCTAGCCTACTTTTATACTGATAAATTTGAGGAAGGAGGAAAAACTTTACATCATACCTACTAGTTGAGGGATACGGTTATTAGTTAGACTAAGGTATCAATAGAGCAAAAGAAACAATTGGTATTTCAACAATATTCAACATAAATCCACACAAGTACATAGCCTATTTTAACACGGATATTCAGCACTCGCTCACTACTGAAATAGCATAATTCGCGGCAATGTAGTTGAACAGACGGTAAACAGACGTAATGGGGGTAAATAGACTACAACGGACGGCAAGAAGAAAGGAACTAAGACGGATGGTCCGACAGGTGGGAACAATTAATAAAGAGACGCCGCTAATCAAGAACTGTAATGGAGAAGAATCCGCTGTTGGAAGTGCTAACTTGTTCTATCTATCAGGAGGCTGGCACTGGCACTGGCACTGGCACACGGTGAACAGGTGATCCCCGGCCAAGTCTGTAAACGGTGCTCATTATGTCGCTACAGTATTCACTAAACTGTGGCAACAATCAACAAAAACTTACTGACAGGAGAAACTCCAAATCATTTCAGAAATGAACTGTTCCAAGAAGGGAAATAACTTAGCTAATGTGACAAAATGAATTATTAACTTGCAGAAGTTCCCTACTTTTGATTTTATGTTAGCAATAACTAGGAAGATTGCATAACTTAATTGATGTAAGAAGTTAAAAGAAGATAGCAAACATCAATAATAATCGTCGTAATAGAAAATGCAAGTTCATGAATGATTTTTACATTACAAATTTTAAATATGCTAAAGCACGGCAACTTCATAAATTAAGTTGACTTATAGTCTTTTTCACAACAAACTTGTTTCGTATTTGCAATAATGAAGAATTTAATTAAAAATAATCTATTTCGTTGCTTTTTCCAATCAGCGTACACTTGTCCTAAGGTTGATGAATACAAGAAGTGACAATTACCTGAAAAATAATCAGGATAACTTTTATTCTTTCGATAAACGTTCTAAAATTCAAACAAAACCAAATCCATAACTCCCGACGGACAATTGCGAACGTCAGCGCAGTCCGCACGTACGATTTACGGCATTCACGGTGTCGTCCGTCGGATGCCGATGTCCCGTAGAAATACTGCACCACGCCGCGCGCCATGGTCCGCGAATACCTGGCTTATCTGACGATCGTACAGATTTACTCGTACTGGGACGTTATCGAGCAAACTGGCCGACTTTCAATTTACATCCATTGTTAATACAGTAGATTAGAAAACGTGAAGAGCTCGCGACAATGGACACTGCATCTGATAACTCAGAAAACAGGAGCTGCTAGGCCAGAAGAAGGGTTTACAGGAATATTACTTGGCGATGTTATGTGTTCGAAGAGGTTCAATAGAGGGGACTTCTGGCTGGTTACAGGACTAAGCTTTCTGGATGGTATCTAGATACAGTAGTTTGACATTCAACGCAATGTGTACAATTTAACAGCGACATCACATAATTATGTTGTGATTCAAATGAATCGGTTTAAATATATCTAACACATCTTTCTTATAACAAAAAAATATATTTAAACTACAAAATCACAAACGTTATTATTAAAATGTACGCAAGAATGATTAGTTAAAAAGTGATTATTGAATTGAAACAAAAAACAGCCTTTGCTAACCCTTTTATATCTTTATGTTTTGGGTTCAGAGATTTATAAAGTACTTATACAATACTTATACTTATAAATCAATATTTATATTACTTGTCTGTGCTTTAGGTATCAAATTTCGTTTACAAGGTTTTAATTTTTAAGAGAAACCAACTGTTTCAAACAGATAAGTACAGCATGTCTCTTTCAATTCCACCTTTGCAAGCTATAGCATTTTCAGTTCGGTAGTCGATGTGGTTAGTATCCAGCATCCCCCGACTGGTTCCTAAAGGGCAAGGAGGCCACGTAAACTGTTGATTTATCGCGAATGCGTTCTCGGAGTTCCAACTTTTCTCTGCGACGGACGGGCGAGTTTGAGTTTCATCATCATAAATCCAGGTGGAAATCCGTTTTAGGAGATGGGTAGGTGTGGCATGAGTCCAGTTTGAAGGATTAAGGGAGTGGTAAATTTTATAATGAGTTACGATCAAACAAATCATGCGATTTTATTACACAGATTAAATTATGAAAACCTGACATATGCTAATGTGGGGAAAAGCTAGTAGTTTTATGGAGTTATGATTGATTGACTAGAATCTTCTAGAAGAGTGACTTTTGCCAGCAAACGTATAATTAATTAAATGTAAAAAATTAAAGCTTACCATTGCTATGGAATAGAACTTTTTTGAATATCACCAAGATTATTTATAGCCCCTGCGATTATACAGTACTTATACGTGGTAAGGCCCCGGCCACACGAGGCGAATTTAAGCCGCGCGGCTTATCTTCGCGCGAAGTTAAGCCGCGCGAAGTGCCCGGCCACACGGGGCGGTTGAACCGCTTCCTGTTGGGGTTTCCCAGTATCAGTACTCTATTAAAACATAGTTCAGTTCACTATTTTTAGTCATGGACGAAACTCTTATGTTAGTTTGTGCATTAGAAGCGTGTGGTGATCTGGAACCAAATGTTAGGCCTAACATAAATCATTGGGTCCATCCCTTCATAACGGAAAAACAATTTTTTTTTGTTCCAAACCCTTTACGAGCACATGCGAAACCATAGTTCGGAGTTTGTATGTGTCAAACATTGTTTGAACACCACACAACAGGTAAAAAACACACAAAACAAACTAAAAAACCACTAGAAATGTCCGAAGATTATCTCCAATAAGCGCGGCTGCCGCGCGGTCGAACCGTATCGTGTGGCCACTCTCATAAGACTCAGTGTGTCATCCCCTCCAACGCGGCTTAACTTCGCGCGGTCGGAGGACGACATGTCGCGGCTCAACCGTACATGCGGCTAAACTTCGCCTCGTGTGGCCACTCTCATTTGATTCAATGTGTTGTCGAACCCCTTAACTTCGCGCGGCTTAACTTCGCGCGGTTAAACCGCCTCGTGTGGCCGGGGCCTAATGGAGCACCGCAGATTGTCCGAGAACCGAAAATGCTCAATATATGCATTCAATTTAACAATATTTGCTGCTATTTCTCCGATCAAACATTGACAAGCCGAATAAACTTGCTATGCCTAACAAACGAGATAAGGGAGATGTGTCTACGGACAAACCGAGAAAAGGAAGTGCTGTAAAACGACAAACCGTTAACCAAAACGAAAGGAACGAGCGTGCGAAATGAAAGACATGACCAAAGTTAATTAAGGAGCGGTATCAGGTGGGCTGCCCCGATGTGAACACAAAGGCGAGGAAGGGTTTATCACCAAATGAAATCAGAAGGCATCATTTTGAAGACTTTGAAAACAATGACGTCTTTTGACGACATTCGCCGACTTCCTAATTTATCACTTTTAATCATCAAAGAACAATGAAGGGCTCGCTTTGTCTGCAAACTTTGGGTAATGAACTTTTGATTTGATTGACATTGCAGAAAACGCGGGCCCTTCACCGCCCTAGAGGTGATCGAATACCTTTAAACTTCTCCTATAGATTGAGGTTAAAAATAAATAGCTCTAAAAATCGATCATAAATTTGCGACTAAATACAGGTAAAGCTTCTTAACATTATAATAAAACAAAGTTTTTGTGTATGTTTAATGTAAGACTAAATTACTTACGTAATTCCCGTCACAGCTCAATAAAATATGTCAATTCAGGACATGTTTCGGTGTTAAAACACCATCGTCAGCTTCAGGTACATAGTGTAGAGTTGATCAGTTGTTAACATCGTCAGAAGAATAAATAAACACAGTACGGACACGAATAAATACATAAAACAATTAAACATTAAAAAAAACAGGCCTGTTCTAACAAAGATGAAACATGTCCTGAATTGACATATTTTATTGAGCTGTGACGGGAATTACGTAAGTAATTTAGTCTTACATTATGTCCAACAGCTCAGGGGCTACACACATGGATTTAAATTGTGTATGTTTGTTTAGAAATAAATTGGTTATAAAATAAGTCTTAAGTTTATTGACAAACTTGCTCT